TAATAACGCAGATATGGATCCCTTTGTTTAAATGGGTTAAAATCGTTTTGCCGTTTGGACAATTCTACCTGATGTCACATACATGACCACCACGGAATGGTCATTTCCAGCTTTTAACATAGAAAACACTACGTGTCGTGTAGTTTAGCTTCTGTGCACATCTTATTCAGAAATAGAACGAGCAAAACATTAGTAGTTTCAGCAATATATCTGTATTTATATGGGTGCTCTGCCGTGTATTTATAATCGAAGAACGGAATCTTAAAGCAAGCACAATCAGTGGAAATGGCCTCAATGTTTAGAGAAAGGCATGTTCCTGCGTTTACGGTAGAAAAATACTAGTATTGCTCAGAAACGTGAAAGAAATCACCAAAAGCGTTAAATTTTTACTTGACATCCCCGTGCAAAAATGCAAAGTACGCAGAGATCCGTCAACGGAGTGCAATAATAAAGCATTTCCTAAAGGGGTAACTTATTAAGGAAAGTTGTTCTATTGATCGAAGTCATATTCGTTGCTGACTTTCGTTGTGGACAGCCATTTTTCTCAGAAATGAAGTTTGCTTTTTGAATGAGTTTTCACATGTGACACAAACGACCATCTTCGTGAAAAGGAACGCCTGAACACTCACTTATTCGGTAAATGCCTTCAAGAAGAATCTTATATTAAAGCTCTCAACAGACAGGTAATTTAGAATCCGTCTTTATGGGCGATCGGGTGAAAACACTGTAAATCATGAAGTATTCAGCAATATTTCGAGGCCGATCTGAAACTCAACGTAATCCAAAACGAAGGAAAAGTATAAATTAATTTACCGGAAGAGAATTTCTCTCTATTAACACAAAATGGTATGTTTGCGATCACGTCTGTCAGTCACCGTCTGTCAGGCACCGACCGGCATCATGGCATGCCACCCTATGAAAACTTTTGATCCTACGAAGTCTACATCGATGAAATCAAGCAAAACCCAGCTTCTCTTGTTGAAACCCATCTCGTTTAACTCCAAATAATCAAGGAAATAACAAAACACGGAAAAACTTTTATGGAACCTACACTCAGAATGTAGGCAGTTGGCAAACCGTCATATGTGGAATCACACTAATTATTGAACGATATTTAGATGTAAACCTCACCGGAATACTATTATTAGACGTTATTTTATTTATATTTTATATTTACTAGGTTTCTGATATGAAATAAATTATATATAGTTAAAAACGAAGTTTGATATACTGGAGTCATTTCTGACTGGAAGAAATCCGTATCCATACCTACGACCTCCACCCAGGCGTTATCTCAATAACAGAAGCATAGTTGTCCGAACATGTTGTTGATAGAGAGTTCATGCTCCCTGGATTTCAACTGTTCCGCAGAGACAGAAAAAACAGAAGGGATGGAGGCATAGTAACATTTGTTAAGAATGGCTTGTACGTTTTAGAAAAAACTGCTCAATTGACTTGTTGTACAGAAGCAATATAGCTGACCTTAAGGGCATCGGGCTCTCAAAGCCTCGATATCTTGACAGTATATCACCCCCCGAGAAATGACCCTGACGCTGATGCCCAACTGCTGGAGGAGCTCAGATTATTTTCAACGCGACCGACTACTCTCATCGTTGGAGATTTTAATGCACCTCACATAAACTGGACCTCGGCTTCAGCCGACTGCTCTGAAGCAGCATTCGACCAGGAGTTAATGCGTACCTCCGACAATCTGCTTCTAACCCAGCACGTAATGTTGCCAACGATAGTTTGAGAGGGCCAACAAATGACTTGCCTCGATCTTGTGTTCACAAAGTCCTCTGACAACATCAACGTCGTGAATTGCCTCCCCCCGTTGGGTCAGAGTAACCATGTAGTTCTCATGTGGAAATGCACCATATTCTCCCTGCCTGCACAACTGCTCGATTCCCGACCCAATATTTGGCCCGGTGATTTCGAACAGATGAAAAAGGATCTTTGTCTTATCGACTGGGCATCCACTCTCTCCGGCGATGTCGAAAAGGTTTGGTGTAAGTTCAAAGAGTTAGTCCACAAGCTCATCTCCAACCACTGCCCAATCATGCGCAGGAGATTAACAAATAGACGCAGCTGGTTGACTACGTCCTTAAAGAAGGAAATTAACAAGAAGAGGAAGCTGTGGAAAAGATCCCTGACTTACCGGACGCGAGAATCCCTAAGTAGTTATATGCTACAGAGTAATCGGGTCAAAATTCTTATTGCCAGAGATCGGCAAGTCCTTGAAAAGGTTCTTTTGAACCATGTCATGGTTAATCCCAAAGTCTTTTACAGCTACCTAAGACAAGCACACGCAACAAAGATCCCATCACACTGCTGCGAACGGCCGAGGGAACGGAAATCTCCGAGGACAAGGATAAGGCTGAACATCTCTTTCAGTACTTCCGGTCCATCGTGAGAAGTGAACCTGATTTTCTTTCACCCACTTGTGAGGACGAAGAACCGCTTACCCTCGAAGCCATCTTCGCCAACGAAACAATTGTTCAAAATGAATTACTAAACCTAAAAGAATTGGCCTACCCAGGCCTTGATGCAATCCCGGCCAAGCTGCTGAAGGAGTTAGCTCCCGAAATGTCCAAGCCGTTAGCTTTGATCTTCCAAACGACATTTGTTACTGGATGCCGGCCCTCTGGTTGGTAGTCCGCTACCATCACTCCGCTTTCTAAGGGTAGATGTGGTGCGTCTGCGAATAACTACAGGTCAGTGTGTCTTACCTCCATCTGTTGCAAAATCATGGAGAAGATCGTTAAGAAGGCCTTGATGCAGTTCCTCGAGTAGCATCACCTCCTCTCTGATGCCCAATTCGGCTTTCAAAGTGGTAGGTCCTGCCTCACGAATCTGCTCTTTACGCCCGAACGCTGGACCAAAGCACCCGATGAAGGTAATGTGGTGCACGCCATCTACATCGACTTCAAAAATGCTTTCGACAGCGTTCCTCACCAACGTCTCTTGTGCAAACTGCGTAACGCTGGAATTCGTGGACGCCTTCTTGTATGGATCCAGAGCTTTTTGGCTGGATGGTCCCAATGTGTTTAGGTCGGGCGTCAGCAGTCCTCAGAGGTAAGCGTGGTCAGTGGCGTCTCACAGGGCTCAGTCTTTGGCCCCACGTTATTCCTCGTTTTCGTAAATGACTGCGTCAAGGACCTAGACTGTGATACTATCCTGTTTGCCGACGACATAAAATTGTGGAAAGTTATTCGTAAGGCGGCAGACGCAGCCCACCTGCAAGTAAACTTGAACAGACTCGAAGACTGGTCGAAGTGCTGGCTTATGCTCCCCAACATAAGCAAGTGCAACTTTCTTCAACTCGGCAGCGTCAGAGCCTCCAGCCCCAGGACCTACTTTCTACACGGCACACCACTGCAACAGATTGACAGTCAGGAGGACTTGGGTGTATGGATTACATCTTCACTCATACCAACACTGCAATGCGCGAAGGCGGCCAGGTCGACTACGGCAACATTGCAAATCATTAGGCGAGCATGTATGAGATTTGACACTGGCTGCCTTTCCAAAATATTTGCCACCTTCGTGCGACCTCATCTAGAGTACGCCATACAGGCGTGGAGACCTTGGACTGCCAGGGATTATACCTAGAGGGGGCGACCAAAATGACACAAGGTCTGGAAGCACTGTTCTATGAAACCAGACTGTCAACTCTCAACCCGTTTCCCCTTTCCTACAGGCAATTACGTGGTGACCTTATACAAACATTTCGCATTATCAAAGGCCTAGACTGTTTCACTCAAGCTAACACGCCCACTTTGCGCGGTCATCCCGTAAAACTTCGCTCAGGGTAATCAATGAACGGAAGTTCTTTTTCAGTAACAGAGTGGTTGCAGCGTGGAATGCCCTGCCGACCGATGTTGCAATCTCCTCCTGTGTGAATTCCTTTAAGTGTAAACTTGACGCGTATCAAGCATCCCAATTACCAACCTCACGTCCCCTCACATAACCCGGCACCAAATTATAAGTGTTCATACTACTTGTAATTAGTAATTAACCGTTAACGATTGCCCTTTTTCGACCAGCTGTCCGAGATTGTGCACAAAATCCATTTTTCACCTTCTAACGTATCAAAGTTTTTCTCCGACGACTTGTTACCAATAGGGAGTTCAAAGGCGATCGCTTATATTTCCCTTAATTAACTGAAACTGAAAGTGAAAAAGGGACTGCTCAGGCGGGATTTCCTAAGTAATGCACCTAAAATCCACAAGATGACTACCGGGCCTACGTAACTCATATATGTTTGATTTTGAATTATTCAAATTCTGCCACAGCATCCTTAGATTATCTAATTATTTCTGAATGCTCCCAAAATTTGAAGACAAGCTTAATGGCCAGTCTCGCCAAGTTACTCGTTAAAGGTTTTATTTTTCCCAAATAAAACATTTCAGGAATTGACATCTCGAGGGTCCTAATTAAAATTGGCCAAAGTTCCTCAGAAACGAAATAACTTTCACTAAGCAAGTTTACGAAAGAATTTCCCAACGCATCGTCAAACAAGTGGAAAATATACATAAGACAGTTTGCACCCTATAGAAACTAACGAAAGACTTTGTCGTTGGTTATCGTTGATGTCAATAGGCATTTCCGTATTTCAGTTACCTGTACGGTTTTAGCCGTGGCAGTCTTTAATCGACCCTGAGAAAATATTGTCACTGACATCTAACCCGACATATCTGTTAGTGAATGTCTCGTCTGATGGCATTGGTCTAAGGAGCTCGAGGTCATTCTTCGCTGGGCAGGCGCGAAAATGTTGGTTTTCTTCAGTGAAATGCGTTCAGTTTGGCATAGCATCACGCAGTAAAGTGTCGCGTTCCATTAAACTGTCTGGTGCTCATGCACACGGGTCGAAAGGAATTCTTCAACTCGGCTACCAAAACCAGTGCACTGTACTTTTTAGACGATTTCTTTTATGATCTTGGGTTGAGTACACGGAGTACCCATCATCGTGATTAGGGATTTGAGGCGGCATGGCTTCATCACTTGGGGTTGGCGTTGGCGTTGGCCACGGCAGCGAAAGCGCTTGTGTCAGAGTTTTCTGACAGCATAACACCGGATTCACTAACCGTATAGCTACTGCCTCTGCCGTTGCTAGTATCCGTTGGCGTAGGCCTTTAGAGAAGCATGTTGGTGTCCGGTAGACAACCTGAAATGCTTTCTTGGCATCGACTCGGTGGTTCGTATCGATTAAATGCGCGAGAATAGAACTCGAAATCGACCGGGTCTCACCTCTGTCTAGTCAGGCGGGCATATGTTCACGTACTCTCTTTACCAGGCGTCTCGTTGTGCGGCCGATGTATCCTGCTCCACAGGAGCAAGTGAATGAATAAATGCACATTGATGTGGCCTCCAACGGTAGTCTGTCTTTACCTCCCAAACGTAGGAGGGGAGAGTTTGTGAAGCATACGCGTAAATTCGCCGCAGGGAATGCCCGCGTGATAGCTGTAGTTAAGCGCCGTCGGACTAGTTCGCTCTCTGCGTCTCCTCTAAAAGGCAATCTTATGAATACATCTTTCTTTTCCGCAGTCTCAACAGTGGGCTTTTCAACGCGTTCCCCAATATTTCGGAGGATGAATCTATCTGGGTATCCGTTCTCCCGAAGTGTGTTCCGCAGCTGTTGAAGTTCTTCTTCAATAGCTTCAGGTGAGCAGATGCGTCTCACTCTAGTCGCCAATCCCTGGACTAAATTCCGTTTGATGTTAAGGGGGACAAAACTGTGGAAATTAACATATTGTCCCGTCCAGGTTTTCTTTCGGAACACCCTGCGCTGGATAGACCCATCCTCTTGCCTGTGCAGAAGGACATCGAGAAAGGCAAGTTCGTTATCTGCCTCGGTCTCTGCAGTGAACTTTAGCGAGGGGTGCGCACTGTTGAACTTTTGGACAAGCTCCTCGGAATCGGTGGTACCATCCGTCAGGCAGAAGATATCGTCCACGTACCGACGGTAGAAGACGAGGCCATTAATGGTCTCTTGCAAGCTTGTTTTATCGACTTTGCCCATAAAAACATTTGCAAATGTTTTTAACGCAAATATAGTAGTCAAATACAGTAGTCAATATTCATAGAACCAAGAAAGCATTTCAGGTTGTCTACCGGACACCAACATGCTTCTCTAAAGGCCTACGCCAACGGATACTAGCAACGGCAGAGGCAGTAGCTATACGGTTAGTGAATCCGGTGTTATGCTGTCAGAAAACTCTGACACAAGCGCTTTCGCTGCCGTGGCCAACGCCAACGCCAACCCCAAGTGATGAAGCCATGCCGCCTCAAATCCCTAATCACGATGATGGGTACTCCGTGTACTCAACCCAAGATCATTACTCAAAGACTCTCTTACCCCCCTACCCTAGCCCTGATTTCTTTTATGTTGCCGTTGCAGCCTCACAGGCAATGTATGTAAACATCTTTTACATCGTAACTCGAACCAGGTTAATCGAACACGCATAGTCGATACAGCAGATTGGCCTATTAGCCAATCCTATTTACCAAAAAAACGCTTTTGTTGTTTGCAGCGAGAGACATGTATGAAACTCTACCGCCCGATCGTTACACAATTCTGTGCCTGAGAGAGAAGCAATTTTTTGAAAACCAGAATCTCACCCTTGACAGATCGTAGAATTTTTTCTTGACATACGAACAACGATTCTCTTCCCGCCTAGCTGATGCGGTTGGGTCTCAAGTACTCTTCTCACAGACTCCGTTTCAAGGAAATTGACGAATCCATAGAGGATGGGATCTGGTCCCATCTTGTGCCATGGCCCTCGGATTTCCGTGATTGGACCGAATTTAGAGAAGTACTCATGCACGTCACATGGCGCTGTAGCCTCGGGCAGAAACTTAATGAAGATTTCGTTTAGATTCAGATCCCAATTCGTTTCAGCATGACTAAACAAAGGCAAAAAAACCGGACAAATAGATTCACACAATTAGACGAACAAACGTGTTATCCCTAAGCGTCGCTACAGGCCAAATTGGACAGGAAAAGTAAATTCATAGTTGGTGCGCTCAGGGTAAGAAACACCTGCAGGCACAGTCATTGTTATCAAATTAGAAACGCCCAATTGCATAACATCAGAAATAAAGAGAAGGGGAGCAAAGCAATCCTTTTTTGAAACTATCTTGCAAAATTTTCAGCAAAAAGGCCTTCCATTTCCCGCAAATAGATATGGGTACGCGAAACAAATAACACGAAAGGATTAAAAATGCAACATATTAGCCGCAAAATATAACTATCGATATCACTGACAATCGCTTGTAAATTCGGTGCAAAAATTACGTCAGATTGTATGTTTTTCGAAATTGCGCTAACGCAATTTACAATGCGTGACCGATCTCATGAAATGTTGACCGAAATTCCGGAATGTGTTTCCGATTAGGAAGGATAACTTAAGTGAGGTATTTATATTAATCATCATGCAACATAACCCTGTAAAATTTCGGACTCACCAGGATGTCGGCTTTTGAATGCACGTCTTTATGCCCTCCCGCAGAAACCGCATTCGGTAAAAAATGACTACTTAAATATCATGCATTTTTCCAATTGATTTTCAATGGTCTTAAAAATTCAAATATATTTTACAGAAACCATACATAAAAATATGCTTTTTTTCTCAATTGGCAGGAACTCACATTGGCTTTATATTTGATGTCCAAAAAAATGTGGCTGTTTAGGTTTTAAAAAGGTTTCCCAATTCTCAAATACCTTTCAGCCTGATCTGCCATTGCATCAGCGTTAAACAATTTTAGTCTACAAGGCGCATGCTTTCCGCGTAAGTAAAATCGTATATTCCTCTATGCCTTCGAGAAGATACCACATACATTTCGTAAAATTTCGCAATGAAACCGGGCTGTGTCATACATTCCATGAGGAGCAAAATTAAACGAACATGTGCAGTCTTACATGCGTGAACATCGCACGGTCTTAAAAATCTCCTAATTAGAAACTTTGATAAAACCAACATAAACACTTTCTTCGTGCATAAAATATAAAGATAATATGATTTTCTACCAAATGAGAAAACGAGAGCATATTTTCGTGCATGGTTTCTGTAGAATATGTTTGAATTTATAAGACTATGAAAAATCAATAGGAAACATGCATGCTATTTAAGTAGTCAATTTTCACCGAGTGTGGTTTCTGCGGGAGGTCACAAAGAAGTGCATTCAAAAGCCGACATCTTGATGAGTCTGAAATGTTATAGGGTTATGCTGTATGATAATCAGTATAACAACCCCACTTAAGTAATCCTTCCTAATCGGAAACGCATTCCAGAATGTCGGCCAACATTTCATGAGATCGGTCACGCACTGAATTTATGACCTTAAACTTTTTAATTAAGACAAACAAAGGGGATAAAAACCAGTATATTGCCAATAAAATAGGTTAACTGATGTATAGTTAAGACCAATCGTTCATGAATGAGGAGCGGAAAACAGTGGCTCATATCCATTCTTCTATATTTTTTGTTGAAAGCAGTCATTGTGTGAGGATAGTTAAGGCTTTCTAAGCAAGCGGCCAAAAAGAAGAAAAACCTTTGCTTATGTTAATCTTAAGGCTCTCGGTGTCCATGAGGCAGTCTACGAAGGAGCCGCGCAGGAAGTCTCAAACCCAACGCACACCGCATTTCCAGCCTTGCATCCGGAAACAGGCGTACTGCGCGCATTAGGTGCGTGATATTTGTTCAAACTCGTGCAATGCTAGCGGAAGTCTGCTAGCTTATGAAACCGATTGTTTTCACGATGACCCTCAGACCCCAGTCTCTGGCCAATAAACTTTCACTTCAAACGACTAACTCCTCTGGTTTTTCCTGTGAAATGCCTGAGACGGGTGTGTTTTCTTAAATTGCACAAACCAGACTTCTTGGTCATCAAAACGACAAATCATTGAAGTGAGCTTTCTTTCCTAAAACACATTTTATGGCACTAGGCGGCGTTTAACCGGCGTTGGTGCCTATTGAATGTTCACCATCATACCGTCTTAAATGAAAGAAGTATTAGTTGTTTGTCCACCGCGTCATCCGAGCCGATGATTTGTGAATACAAACATAATCGGATCGAGTTTCAGGCGTAAAAGATGACTTTTACAACAAAAATCCAAAAAAGCTGTTGTATGGATCATAAACTGAATAGAACTGCAACCTCAAATGCCAAAACCAAGGACTTAGATTTGTGAACCTGTTAGATGTTCGCCCCATGGAAAAAACTGCTCTGAAACAGACTCCTAGAATATTTCGCACGCTTTTATCGAAAGTAAAAGAGTAATCGACACAACTTAGAAGTTCTTAAGGGTTTGGAAAGAACTTAGTACGCGAAATAAAGGACACATAAACAGACTTTCAATTTTGAGCTACAGTGTGTGACCTATCTCATGAAATGTTGGCTGACATTTTGAAATGCGTTTTCGATTAGGAGAGATTACTTGGTCGCGGTTGTGATATTGATTATCTTAAGGCATACTCTTATAACATTTTGGACTCGGCAGGATGTCGGCTTTTAAATGCACTCCTTTTCAATCTCGTGTAGAAAGCGTGCTCGGTAAAAAATGACTACTTAAATAGCATGCATTTTTCCCATTGATTTTCGATGGTCTTGGAAATTCAAATATATTTTATAGAAACCAGAAACAAAAATGTGCTTTCTTTCAGTCAATCAATAGATAATCACGTCTTCTTTATATTTTATACTTAAGGAAGGAGTATAATTAGGTTTTAAAAAAGTTTTCTGATTGCTGAAAAATGTGGAGCCTGATCATTCGTTACATTAACGCTTAGTGATTACCCTCTACAAGGTGCATGCGTTCCGCGTAAAGAAAATCCCATATTTTTGTATGTCATTAAAGAGATATTATACAGGGTCCATAAAATTTTGCAATGGATGCAGCCCATGTTGTACATTTCATGAGGAGCAGTGGTAAACGGTCAGGTATGATGCTTTGTGAATGGACATATCGCGGTCTTAAAAAGTCTCATAATTAGAAACTTTTTTAAAACCTAATTATACTCCTTCCTTAAATATAAAATATAAAGAAGACGTGATTCTCTATTGATTGACTGAAAGAAAGCACATTTTTGTTTCTGGTTTCTATAAAATATATTTGAATTTCCAAGACCATCGAAAATCAATGGGAAAAATGCATGCTATTTAAGTAGTCATTTTTTACCGAGCACGCTTTCTACAGAAGATTATAAAGAAGTGCATTTAAAAGCCGACATCCTGCCGAGTCCAAAATGTTATAAGAGTATGCCTTAAGATATTCAATATCACAACCGCGACCAAGTAATTCCTCCTAATCGAAAACGCGTTTCAAAATTTCAGCCAACATTTCATGAGATAGGTCACGCACTGTGTTAGACATTCGTTGGCTATTACATACTACCAGCTACTAATAAAATAAACACATGATCCGCTTGGTCAGCGAAACAGACTTCGGCTGAGTCATTAGAGGATTTAACACTTACCCTTGCTTTATTGGTTTACTAGTCTGAGCTTCTATTGGAAGTCGTGCCAGTTGTTTCCGCACGTTCCCCGAGTCAGAGGTCACCAGCGATAAGTCCTTGAAATGCAGCTGAATCTATTTTCCATCAGAAAAGAAAAACAAATATAAGACGTTTCAACAAGACGACTTGCCACTAGCATCGGGGCGTGCAGCAGTTCGCGTCTCCTTACCCTCCGACTTTGTCACGCTGTCTTTTTGTCCGCCTCACACTCCTTGTCGATACGCTGCTAGGACACGCGAGGCTTGTCTTCTACCAATTTCATACTCGAAGGAAGTGCATAATTCGGTTTTCAAAGATTTTTCCAATTCTCAAATAGTTTTAAGCCCCGACCTGCCTTTACAGATGCATTCATGGTTTCCGAATTACAAGCCACATATTTTCCGCGTAAGGAAAACTATACACTTCTCTATGGTATTAGGAGGACACCATATGGTATTCATAAAAGTTAGCAGTAGATATTGTTGACTCTACAAGTCACATTGGTACATATTGAGATATAGAGTTTTATGAACGGCAATTTCACGGCATTAAAAATCTCACAATTAGAAACTTTTTAAATCCGACCTATACCCTACCTTCGGATATAAAATTGGGAAAAGACGTACTTCTCTTCCGAATAAGCGGAAGAAAATAAATACCATTATCCATGTGTTTAAACGGAGCATAATTGAACTTTTAAGGACATCGAAAATCAATGAGAAAAATGCATGTCATTTTTTGTAGAGTATAATTTTTGCATGCAGCTGGAAAAAGGGTTCGTTCGAAAGCCAGCATTCTGCGGTAACTAAATTATGCTGCACGGTGACTAATTTTATAACCCTACTTACAGTAAATGGGCTTACTCATGAAATCTCAACAGAAATTCCGAAATGCTTTTCCGTTTCGGAAAGAATTATTCAGTAGGGTTGCAAAACCAATCATCGTGCATCATAATTCTATAATAATGCAGTTATCTCAGGACTCCGGATTTTCAACAAACTTCTCTTTGGCTGCATCTAAAAAACGTGCTCTGTAAAAGACGACCACTTATGTAGTATGAGTTGTTTCATCGATTTTCGATGCCCTTAAATATATTTCATGGAAAACATGCATAAAATATTCATTTGCTTGCTCATAGGGAGCAAATTACGTCTTCTTTCATATTTACACTCAAAAGAAGGGTATAATTTGGTTTTTATAAGACTTTTACAATTCCCGAATAATTTTAAACCCAGCCTGTAGTTATACTTGCATTCAGGGTTTCCAAACTACAAACCGTATAATTTCCGCGTACCGAAAACGGGAATAAAGGGGGGACTATATAAAGTTCATAAAATTGAGAGGTGGCCTTGAGCCACCTTGTTAACTTTAAAAGCCACATTGGTACATGCAGAGACATGACGATTTATGAACGGCCGTTTCAGGGAATTTAAAAGTCCCACAATTAGAAAATTGAAAACCGAATTATACCCTACGTTCGAGGTTAAAATTGAAATAAGAAATAATAGTCAACTGAATGAGCAAAAAGCATAAATGTTTTTATGCATGTTTTTCATGGAATATAATTGAGTGCTTAAGGGCATCGAAAATCGATGAAAAAAATACATGCTGCACAAGTAGACACTTTTTACGGAGTATGGTTTTTCGGATGCAGCCAAAAAGAAGTTTGATTCTAAAGCCGGCGTTTTGGGGTAGCTGAATTATTATAGAATTATGCAGCATGATGATTGGTTTTACAACCGTACTTAATTAATCTTTTCGAAACGAAAACGCATTTCGAAATTTCTGTTGACATTGCGTGAGTTAGCTCACATACTGTAAGCAGTCTTCTCGAAACGAAAATGCATTTCGAAATTTCGGTCGACATTTCATGAGTTAGCCCATCTAGTATAATTTCACCAGCCTGCGGGGTTCACTTTGGTTAACTTTTGGACTTCCAGGACCACCTGTAGCTGGCTTATCGAGAGTGTGCGATCAAGCGCAGGTTAGTATTTGTTCATTGAATGGTGCTCTTTGTGCGCCGGCTGTCGCGGATGGGTGGCATAAATGCTTACACGAGGACTACCACCTATGCTTGCAATAAGTGTCCAATTCATTTTATCAGGAGTAATAAACGATCTGCCGAATGCCTACGACTTCCCCCCTCCCCCCCGTAGATGAGCCCGTTCATGGAGACGAACACAGAACTGCTACTTATGCGTACATTTCGGACTAAAATCAGTCTGTTGGAATAGTTAGAGATGTCTAGTGGGCGTGTGACCCCCACTAGTTGGGGTTGGAATATTGCACGATCCCATTCTGTGCGCACGCCAGCTTGACTACTTCCGATAACAAACCTTGAGCGCCCATCTACCATAATCGAGTAAAAATCGGCAGGACAACGACCCCGTGACTTAGTGGTTTGGGCGGTGGACTTCTAACGTATTGGTCTCGAGTTCGAGACTAGAGGGTTGCATACCCCGAAGTTGAGTGTGGCTAGCTGACAACAGTTAAAAAGTCAGAAATGACAATTCCAGTCCCTCTTACTCTTTCTCATTAAATTATACTGCTAGAATGATTTCCCACTGGCATGCGTTATTCTGTCTTTAGGTTCCGTCAGGAAAAGTATGCGAAGACAATAATTTGATTATGCTAGGTTTTCGTGATTTTTGGGTTTTCTTAAATATTAAAAATTAGTCCAAAGGCTTTTGGACCAAACTTGACTTTGGTGGATACATTCGTCTATAGCCTCAACATGACATAACAAACAGATGTCACTTTTTTCGGATCCTATTTCTAGCCATACCTGCAGTAGACAAGCCGAGCCTAACCCCTAACCTCCTTTCCTTACCCCCAACTGTTAAGATCTTATTTCGCACCCGCACTTGTTAGAGGTTAAGGTTAGGGGTTAATGTTAGGGGTCAGTGTTGGGGGTCAGATCAGTCAGATCCCGTAACTGGTAGGATCTTATTTCGCAGCCGCACTTAGTAAAGGTTAGGGTTAGGGGTTAGTGTTAGGAATAAGCGTTGGGGGTTAGAGACGTTTACGAATGGAATGAAAGACTGTTATCTTGCAAAATTAACACGCATAGATGCTCAGTGTTTGCCAAGAAATATTATGCGCAATCAGTGGGAGTGCAAGCAAAAGATTACAAATATGCCAACCATATTGACTCACGATAAAAGTATTTTCAGGTCTGATAAACGTACCGATGCAAAATCTGGAGCTAAGTTTAATTTATCAAAGTCAGAATCTTCACAGAATACCGCCGTCTGTTGCAAGTTTTTGACGCATTCAAGCAGTTTTTTTGCTGACCGTTCCACTTCCTTCAAGGCAGTAGCGTTCTGAAAACGGAGAAGCGGTCTCTAGAGTAGGTCTCTGCAATACAATCATAAGGCAATACAGGGTGTTTGGCTAGAATCCAAGGTTGTTATGAGCATGAAACGGCAGTAGAAACTTAGGCAGACCATCGCACCCACACTAACCCCAATCACACTCAACGAGCTTCGATGGCACGTGTATGGCTGAAACTGCACAAGCCTCCTACATAACAGTCTAATTAAAGCTTGAGCCATGGCGTTCCCTGCCTCTGTTATGTCGGCATGATAAAACAAATATCGTAGAACTCAGATGCAAGGACTCCTTGGAAATTACCATTTCCTCATCGTTTGCCGCCTGAAGCAAGTTAGCCCGTCTCCGATTCAACTTCGCCAAGTCCCTTCGAAGTTTCTTTAACCTGCTGAGCTCCTCGGCATGGGTTGCCGCGACGGTCAGTTTGGTTCTTTCGAGAGAGTAGTAGGCCGCATAGTACAGTTCGTAATCAGCAGAAGTGATCTCAGTAAGGAGGTCCTCCTTGCAGTTAGCGGAGTCGCTCCTCATATGGCATAGAGTGGTCTTCAGGGACTCAAGAAAAGTCCGTCCCGATGGTAGTCTAGCCAAATTTTTTATCGTACTTTCGAGTGCCTGGGTGGTAAGCTGGAAGAAGGAAAACGTTTTTACAACGGCACAAATTTTTGGTACAGAACGATGTGGCGACTGATGCATAGATCCATACATTTGTCGCGAAAACATGCCTACTTATTTGATTTAGGTAGACATTCCATGTTACGGTTGAGGTTACGTTTGGACCTAAGTAAGTTTTGAAGGTTTGGGCAAAGCTAAGGGTTAGGATTAAGGGTGGGGTTAACTAAGCCTGCCGCATACCGTCTTACCAAATTCCACCACCGTTAACAAGTAACCCCGGATAAGCCGTTTGCTGCCCATTTACGAGCTCTTAATTCACCCTTTTCAAATTGCGCGGTCTGTTTCCACCCATCGTTGAAGTAATTGACCACACATACTGCAAAAATAACATTTTTGTTGTTACCTACAAAGACAAGGGAGACTGAAATGGTCATTTCTGGCTTATTAGTTGTCATTAGCTAGTCATAACCAAATCCCGAATTTTGGAACACCTGTTAGCTAGAAGTACAACGCCTCTAACCACTGGACCACGGGCCCGTTGTCCTGACAGTTGCGGTCGGGAATATACAATGGTAGAGGACAACGGTCCGTGGAACAGTGGTTAGAGGCGTTGGACTTCTAATTAACAGCTCTCGAGTTCTAGCCCCAGATGTTGGGTTTGACTGGCTGACGACGGCTAATAAGTCAGAAATGGCTATTCCAGTCCCCCTTGTCTTTGTCGTTTATACCATTCTGCCTATATTATTCGTCGCTGTGCGGCTGCTGGTTGGGCTCGAGGGAGAACCCGTAAAGCACAACAGAACGAGCGATTTTCTAAGAACGGTCGGTAGCGTCCCTCTACCAACATGATTTTTCTGAATGCCTTCCGCAGATTCCGTCGAGTGCCGCGTCAAACTGCCGTCGACTGACGTCATTACATACAACGGGAATCCCTGTGCTTCATTTTCATAATGGGCACACATATCTGGTCCTTGCCAACGAGGAAGACAAAAGCGATAGCAGTAGATTTAGATACTCATGTCTAACTGACCGTTTACAAATGTGTTCTTTCATGTTGAGAGGCAGTGAAAGTAGGACCATGATGAAAAATGATACTTTGGCCAGTTGAAAATTTCTAAATTGGACCCTGAACAAAGACGACTTTCAGAAGAAGACACCGCTCTTTTTACCAGATTTTCCTGAAGCATTCGAGTCAGTCTCCAGAAGGTTCTCTTGGAGGTCATACAGTCTGAAGCCATTTAGACGAAGTTGCTAAACTGGATCGAGGCATATTAACGCCTCGCGAGCACAATAGTTTGGGCTTAGAACGGGTAGAGTGAATTTCCTCATAGATGACCAGAAGTTATAGTTACTTGACTGTTTTTCTAACTGTTTATCCGTGCTGCAAAGTGCGACTTCAAGTGAATTATACGACCGACCACAGCATGCTCACGGTGTATTCCGTCGGTTCTGCATGCATTTGTTGTAATTATATCAATACGTTTTTGACGTTGCCTTGATTAACAGCAAAGTGCTGGCACCTGGTGGGCTAATCTGTTAAAAAATAAGTACGCCTTCTCGAACCATTAATTTCGACTGGCTAAAATGAGTCGTGAGGTACGAAGTAAATTCCACTTCGGTTTTGAAGGCTACGTTTTGAAAACAGTATTCGGAACCCCACGCAATCACGAAGTGAATTAAAAAGTACTTTTTGGTAAACTACACTGACCTCTGACACTTGAACGTTGTTATTCATTGGACAAATTGTTTTCGAAAGTTGATTTCGTGCTTGACATGACTTTTTAGGCTTCGGGGAGGACGAAGGCCGTTTTGGGGTAGACGACATCGTAGACGTTAATTGCTCTGTGTCAATGACACGAGTCTCAGCACCGTCGAATAGGCGCTAACCAGATTTCTTGTTAGAATTTGCTGGCTCGAGACAGGATGTGTAAAGGTACGTCACGGTGTTTAAGGTAGGATGCCTAAAAAGATTTTTAAAAAAACAGAGGCAAGATCCATGCATTGTTCAGGTTTTGGGTAAAATGAGAGGATTCCGAGTTTAAATGATGAGGTATAATAGGTTAATTCAGCCTTAGTGAGTATCTCTACGCAGCAAGATACATGTATTTAGAAGTGGTCTTTTCCACATGCCTGGCTACACAATTACCCCAAAAGGCTGTAGTGGTGCCTTCAGTCGGTTTGATTAGAGTGTTTTGCGTAATGCGAAGTCTCATGTCCCCTTAGAGACTTAGGTTAGGCTCGATAGAGTGTGATGTCAAATAATTGACCACCACCGCATGGTCATTTCCAGTTTTAAACATATGAAACACTACTTGTCGTAAAGTTTTGCTCCTGTTCATACCCTGTTCAGAAATGGAACGAGCAAAACATAAACAGTTTCAACAAAATACCACTATTTATATAAGCGCTCTGCCGCGCAATCATAATCGAAGAACGGAGTTTAAAAGCGAGCACAAACAGTGAAAATGGCCTCAATGTATAGAGAAAAGCATGTTCTTATTTTTACGGTAGAAAATATTAGTATTGTTTTGGAACGTGAAAGAAATGGCCAAAAGTGTCAACTTCGTACTTGGTCTCACCGTGCAAAAATGCAGAGTACACATAGATCCGTCAACGGAGTGCAGTAATAAAGCACTCCTTAAAGAGGTATTTTATTAAGGAAAGCTGTTTTACTGATCAAAGGCATATTTGTTGCTGGCTTTCTTTGTGAACAGACATTTTTCACGAAAATGAAGTTTGATTTTTGAATGAGTCTTCACATGTGACCCAAACGACCATCTTCGTGAAAAGGAGCGCCCGAACATTCACTAATTCGATAGATGCCTTCAGGGATAATCTTATTTTAAAGTTCTCAACAGACGGGTAATTCAGAATCTGTCTTTATGGAAGATCGGGTGAAAACACTAAAAATCATGAAGTGGTCAACAATATTTCGAGGCCGATCTGAAACTCAGCGTAATCCAAAACGAACGAAAAGTGTAAATTAGTTTAACGGAGGAAAATTTCTCCCTATAAACACAAAATGGTATGTTTGCGATCACGTCTGTCAGTTCTATTTAGATTTATTAGGCACCGACTGGCCTCAAAGCCTGTCATCTTTTGAAAACTGTTGTTCCTACGATGTCCCCATCGGTGAATTCGAGAAAAAATCAGGTTTTCTTGTTGAACCCCATCTCATTTAATTCAAAAGAGTCAAGGATAACACGAAACCCTAAAAAACTGTTTTAGAATCTACATTTATAATGTGGGCAATAGTCAAACCGTCATCTATGAAAACACACTAATTATTTGACGATATTTATATATCACTTGCACTGAAACATTACTACTGGACGTTATTTTATTTCTACTTTCATATTTATTAGGTTTTTTGGTATGAAACCACATTCTATACATTTAAAAACGAAGTTTACTAAATAAGAGCCATTTCTAATGTTCTCGAGATATTGCTTTTTATTCAAAATAAATCGGCATCTCTAAGCAATTCAACACCGCCTTTAATATATCTTATGTGTTTTTAATTCTTTTAAACTTGTACTTAATTACCATAGACATTGGACTCATGAAATGGTGCCGTTTTACGAGTGATTGACAATCATTCGTAAATTTCGACACATTTCATGAGTTAGGTCACTAACTGTACTTCCAACAAAGCAGGAAACGAAATGCAACTCTCAGGTTATTTGCCAATGCCAACGAACATAGTACAGTTCGTGATCAGCAGAAGTGATCTCAGTGAGGAGGTTCTCCTTGCAGGTAGCGAAGTCATCTTCAGATCTTCAGGGACTCAAGAGAAGCCCTTTGCGGCGGTTGGTTGGAAGAAGAAAACGTTTGTACAACAGCCTAAGTGTTTGATAGTGAACGATTGGGAGACTGCTGAATGCATAAGTCCACAATGGTGCCATTCCTAAGGGCTGCGTATTTGCCCCTACCTCCACCATTGTGCTGATTACATATTGTAAAGAGCGGCCGGGAAGTCGACAGAACATTGTTCAGTATTCAACCCAGGACCAGTGCCCACAACCGGGTGTTATTGGATGACTGAGCGTAAAGACCACAACTGCGATTCTTGGTCTCTTTGCCTCCGCTTGGTCTAACTTCGGACTGGGCAGTAACACGGAGTAGACTGCAGTCACGCATCAAGCCGTGCCCAATAAGCTACATGTAGATTTCAACTGAAGCCAACTCGTAGCAGTGGACAAATTCGCATACCTAAAACGCACAATTTAAAGGCATGTGACAGCTAAACACGGAGTGGCCTACTGGATCTCCAAAGCCGGTCAGATCGTCAATTAGGCGTAGCCACTAGTCCGGAATCACTACGGACTTCAACTCAACATGAAACGCAAAATATACTGGGCGGTAGTCCAGTTGGCCCTGTTCTACGGCTGCCGCCACTGTCCCAGGGACTCTCAGACATAACAGGACGCAGTCAACACCATCCCTGGCTTCGCCAGTGGTCATTGCCGCCTGAGAGGACAACTCCGGGTTCTGTGCACAATAAAACCCTTATTCTGGTGCCTTCCGTCTTCTCCCTACAACTTGGGATCTGACCCGACGATAGTAGCGCTCTGAGTACAGACATGCACATTCACACCGCCTAACGCATTCAAATTAATGACGCTAGACCGGTCATGATGGCTGCCCGCCACACCCTAACCAACAGGTCGCAAGCTCGAGCCTCGGGGTCGGACATGGCTAGCTGACGACGGCTAATAAGCCAGAAATGGTCACTTGGTCTCCCTTGTCCTTGTTGGTAATGTTATTCTGTCAGTAAAAACGTACCCTCCTCCGAGTAACTACGCAATCTGTTTGAAGGCCGTGCTTAATGCCGCCTAGTCTTGCAACTGATCTGCGGTTCGCACGACGACTTGCTGTCAAATCTAGTTGGCACCTGCACACCCGACGAATACCGCTGGCATCGCATGAAGGGTGGAGCACCTGGCTGTATGTTTAATAGCGCTAAAATAAATGCCGAAGCGAGTAACGCCTTAAGTTTGTCGAATTCAGTCTGTTATCTTTTATTCCACTTGAGTCGTCTTCCATTTTCTATAAGACGATGTGAAAGATGTGCGATTTTAGAAAAATGAGGGATGAGAGGTCGGTAGTATGTGCATAGTCTGTGCATAATCCGCAGGCTTTTTCAATGCAGACAACGATGCGACGGCATCTGTTTTTTAGAGGGATGACTGGGCGCTACCTACGTTAACTTTATGAGCCCGAACGATTACTTGGTTATGCAAAACTGACCTTTCTGCGCATTTGACCAGAAACCAACCTCATTCAGTGCTGATGGAACAGCTACTGAACTTGGTATTCTGCAAGTAGCATACCTCGCGCTTGAGGAACTACGATGTATGTATAGGTGTAAAGCATGGCCTACACCGATCTCATGAAATGCGTTTACGATAAGGAAGAATTACTTAGGTGGGTTTGCAATAATGTCTGCCATGCGACATAATTCCAAAGTATTTCAGACTCGACAAGATGTCGGCTTTTGAATATACTTCATCTCGACTGCCTAAAGAAATCACACACACTAAAAAAGCACCTAATTAGCATGGATTTCTCACACTGATTTTAGATGGCCATATAAATCCAAGTATTGTTTACTTAAAATCTGCACAAACTGAGTTTCCGTTTACTCTTTTGGCAGGAAATCACATTGTTCTCACATTTTATACTCCAAGAACGGTTACCTTTCGGTTTTAAAAAATATCCATTTTTAAGATTTTTAAGACCGAGTGGTGTTCACACATGCAGCATCGCACATGTCCGCTAACCAATGCTCCTCAAGAAATATGCAAAAAAGTCCGCATCCATTGCAAAATTTTGTGAACTCTACATGGTATCCTCTTAGAGTCATGGAAGAATACATGATTTGACGTGCGCGGAAAGCATGTACCTTGCGACCGAAATCGCCAAACGCTAATTCAACGGTTGGTCTGGCTCAAAATTACTCGGAAATTGAGAAAAGTTTTTAAAACCCAAATATACATACATAAAATGTGAAGACAATATTGTTTTCTACCAAACTAGCAAACCAAAATTGCATTGAACCAATTGCAATTTTCCAGAGGTTAGAGTTTTAGACCCGCTAGAAACCGATATCCCATAACCAAAGCATAAATAGTGGCATCTTTTCGCTGTAAAGGAGAAGACGCGATTTCAAACCTCATAAGGACGTCAGTACTCGATACCAAACAAGGCCTAACAGTCTAAAGGCCAGACTGATATGTGGAATTCAAGATAGGCATTCAGTTTAGACCACACCTCTTGAAGTCGCGTCTTGATAGGATCATTTACCTGCTGTTGAAAATATTATTGGCCTTTAAGAAGATACCACATAGAGTTCATGAAATTTTGCAATTGATCCGGACTGTGTTGTACATTTTATTAAAGGCATTGGTAAACGGAGATGTGCTGTCCCGTGTGCATGGAAGTCTTAAAAATCTCACAATTAAAAACTTTTTGAAACACTTCCTTTGGGTATAAAATATAAATACAACATGATTTTTTAACAACAAAGTAGAAGAAAGCATATTTTGGGCATGTTTTCTACGAAATATTTTTGAATATATAAGACCATAGAAAATCGATAGGAAAAATACATGCTGCTTAAGTAGTCATTTTTCACCGAGTATGGTTTCTGCGACAGGACAAAAAGACGTGCATGGAAAAGTCGACATCCTAGCGAGTCTGAAATACTATAGGATTATGCGGTATGCCGATCGACACTACAACCTCTTTTAAGTAATCCTTCCTAATCGAAAACGCATTTCCGAATTTCGGCAAACATTTCATGAGATCGGTCACGCAGTGTAGGACAACGTTATGGTGGGTAATTTGGAGCCTCTTCGCGAACGCAGAAACAGCTGCATGTTGACCGCGATCAGGCGGCTTGCTGCTATCTATATCTTCATTAAAATAGACTGGTCCAGACGTAGAAGGCCTGCCATGAGAGCAGTCGCTGTAGAAGTTGTTGTGTACTTGTGGTAACCTGCTGGCACGTTGAATGGGGTCTTCTGGGTCAGAAGGCTAATAAAATCCGCAAGGATATATACATATATCTTGTGGAAAACCTGATCCCTGTCAGCGGCAATAAGGGGAAAAATGCACCGTGATCCAGACGAGGTAACACATTATTGAAATCATTTGCAGCGGGGACGTCGGTTCAGTAGCCGCACAGAACCTGGAGAGGACTTGCACTATCCACACGGATCATCGAAGTGGGTGTTAGAGGATAGGCCGGCATGCAGGGCCCTACGGACTATGTTCTGAGTCAGATAGCTAGATGGTTTCGTGCCGCCTGTCGCATTTTCTTTAGACATAAACGCAGACCGCGCGGTCAATGCTGGACGTCCATAAAACCATTGAAAATACCGAAGGAGGTGAGGAAGGGTGTGGTATTACGTAAGGTGCATGTTGTACTACCACTGAATGAATGCGATTGCTCGCATTCATTGATGTCATACTAACGCTTACGTTGGTGGAGCACAGATCGATCAGACTCCGCTGTTACAATGTGTTGCCACTGATATGAGATCTAAAACTCTGTAACTTAGTTCATATTCACCCATTATATTGGGCTAATCTTAGGCAATCTCTCATAGTCTCCGGAATAAAGCTTTTATTGACTCACCTCAAACTTGACCTATGTTATTCGTAACGTTGTCGTGATAGCAGCAGTGGAGAATCTGTCCGGTCCGAAATTGTTAATGTTACCTCTGTCTAATCGGTCCGAAGAAATAACGTCTCGAATACCGACTTGTGTCATATCAGCGAAGTGCACCATTGTAACCACAGTTCACATAAACTTTGTTCTAGTTGGTTCTGACAGGACAAGCTGTGAGATGATTTCACTCTCTCCACAAAGCATTACGCATAGGCTCTGCGTCAATGCTTCCAACTCAGCCAATATGCATAAGGCTGCCATACGATTGGTCTCGCAGAACGCCAATCACAATGATCGCTTTATTTTTGGTGTAGCGCAAGCCTCGTCAAGGCTTCGGATCTTCGACTGACTCTCAGTGAATCTTGTGAATGCATGTGTTCGCCATTAATGAGGGAGTGATTTTCCGGCACACTAGCAAAATGACACATTTGTACTTTGGTGTAGGCTTCGTTTTGGCAGCCGAGCAACATTTCAAGTTTGTTTGAATTCGTAAACAGAAAAAGCACCAGCCAGCACTGTCATTATGTAACCTCATCTTTGTCAAAAACCCTCACGTTACTTTTCAGCTAAATTTGGCTTAGTATGGTATTGCATGTCCGGATTTTCTAACGATTATTGTCTCTGGAAATCACTGGGTTCGATGCGAGTTTGTTTTTCCTAATAACCTCACTAATGTCATTTTGCCTATAGTGCTAACCGCTTAGCGACTGCTAACGGAAATCGGGACTGAACTCCAAGAAACGGCCGGACGAATTTGTTCTGTAATGTGGTTGATGAATGTCCGTCTACCACTGCTAAGGTGGCCGACCAAAAACAATAGGCCAACAAGCCCGTGGCTCGGTGATTAGGTCGTAGAACCTCTAACCGAGAGTTCGCTTAATCGATTCTAATGTGTTGCGCACATTAGAGTTGGGTTTGGCTGGCTGAAGATGGCTGATAAGCTAGAAACTGTCATTCCGGTCAGTCATGCCCTTGTCGACAATGTCGTTTCATCCTAAAGTAGGTGGGCTCACTTATGAAATGTCAATTGTAATTCCGAAAGGCGTTTTCATTTCGAAAAGATTGATTAAGTAGGGTCGCAAAACTGAGTATCCTGCAGCATATTTCTATAATGATTCAGTTACCTCAAGATGCCGGCTTTCGAACATAGTTCTTTCCGTCTGCATGCAGAAAACACACTCTGTAAAAATGCCTTCTTATGTAGCATGCATTTTTCTCATTTATTTTCGATGCCCTTAAAAAATTCAACCATAATTCTCGGAAAACATGCATCAGACTATTCATTCTCTTGCTCATTTGGTAGAAAGGTACGCCTTTTCTAAATTTTATACTCTAAGGAAGGGTATAATTTGTGAGATTTTTGAATACCGGGAAATGGCCGTTCGTAAGACGCCCTGTCTGAGCATTTACCAATGTGACTTGTAAAATTAACATATGACTGAAATCTACTGCTAAATTTTATGAACCCCATATGGTTTCCTCTTATTGCCGTAGAGAACTATGTGATTTTTTGGCACGCGGAAAATATATGGCATATAATTTGGAAACTTTGAATGCGGATGTAACGGCAGGTCGGGTTGGAAATTATTCAAGAATTGGAAACGTGTTTGAAAACCGAATCTTAGCGTTCTTTTGAGTATAAAGCTAGAAGAAGACGTCATTGTCTACCGAATGCGTAAAAAATCGACTATTTCTATGCCTGTTTTCTATTAATTTAAATTAAACTTTAAGGGGATTGAAAATCAATTCGAAAATTACGCTACGGACGTAGTCATTTTCAACAGAGCAGAATGCTTGCATGCAACCAAAAAGCAGTTTGTTCAAAAGCCGGCACCCTGAGGTAACTGATTATTACAGAATTATGTTGCACAATGATTAGTTTTACAACCTTATTAAATTAACCTTTTTGAAACGAGGACGCCTTTCGAAATTTCGTTTGACCTTTAATGAGTTAGCCCTCCTTCTGTACATGTATATATCTTAATGGAATGGAGCAGTCGGAAGACCGTTCTGGAGAAACCTTAGCATGCGAAATTAATGCTACGTTTTTGGCCATGGAGTACTCAGGTGGAATAACCCTGACCGACAGACCCATAGCGAGACCTCAAGATACGATTTTGGCCGGATTCTATGGCCTCCCTAAGGTGCACAAAGAGGGCGCTCCCCTCCGACCCGTCATGACGCTCAGGGGTACTCCAAAGTACGGACTGAATAAGTGGCCGTTCTGGCGTCTCAAGTTCCTGACTGCTGAGTCGGACACCACGGTCTCTTCGTCTGCACAAGTCATGGAGAAACGTAAAGGGGTAAACCTCCCTCCAAATGGGGTCACTGTATCTTTGGATGTTACATCCCTTTCTACGTCTATTTCCCAGGACCTGGCAATTAAGGCAATCGGGCTGCTTTTACAAAGCAAATACAATGAACCGAAGAATTGTCTTGGACACGTCCAAGTCCTTCAACTCCTGAAGTTCTGTCTCAGGACGTACTTCACGTTCGACGGGACAATCTACAAACGGGGGAAAGGCGATCCAATGGGTCCGCCGATTCCGGTACCCATCGCCGAGGCGGTCCTGCAATGGTTAGTGTCGTAGGTCTTCCAAAACTGCAGACCGAAGTTCTGGTTCCGGTATATGGATGACAACTTCGTAGTTATCGACCGGGATCAATTACAGACATTTAATGAACTTCTCAGCGCTGTCATCCCAGACGTCCAGTTTACAATGGAAGAGGAAGAAAACAACCAGCTGGTCTTTCTGGATGTCCTCGTTTACCCCGAAGACTGCGATGTCCTAAAGACCTAAATGCTTAGGAAAGCGACAAGTACGAAGCAAGTCCCGAACTTCAACGGCAACCACCCAACCAGTCACAAAAGCAGTTGTGTAAGGCCGCTCTATCACCGTGTTCAAACGCACTGCAGTGAGCCGGAAGACAAGATTGTCGAACTAAAATACCTCCGACAGGTCTTCAAAGCCAAAGGCTACCCGCGCAACTTCGTCAGCCGGTGCATACGCAAACTGAACAAGGGCCAAGACGCATGGTCTTTAAATTTTTGTGAGTTCTTCCGTACGCCAAGAACGCTTTGAAGGTCGTCGGCCGCCTTCCCGCACCACTTGGGTGGGAGTTACACACAGGCCGGAGGCAACCATCAGGCGTCAGATAATGACACCGAAAGACCCACTGCCAATGCAAGAAACGTCTGAAGTCGGTCATCATATCTGATGCAATTGCTAACAAAGCAACTTCGTCGGTGAAACCAAGAGACTATCCCTAACACGAATGGTGGAATACGCAGCAGCAATGCGGAGAAATGACGCCAGCTCCCAAGTTGCGGCTGACTCGACTTGATCCGGACACACAGTTAAATGCAACGAGACCGAAATTATCGCTAGAGTTGACAACCGCGTGAGCCGCGAGCTGCCGGAGTCAAGGTTTTTTTACCCCTAGTCTATTAACAAGTGCAGTGATCTTCCCCTTCCATTTTCGGTGTTGAGACATCGCCTAGGGGAGTAATTAGCCACGCGGAAAGCGCACAGGTGAACACTGTTACTAACGCCAGGGTCGGCGGGTCAGATGGTCGAGCCATCACCATTCTGACCTTCGACACTCGTAGTGAAATTGCAGCAATTAACGACACCAATTTCGGCCATCGAACAGTCATTGCATTAAGTGCGACGATCCCGGATGAAGGGGGGAGCTGTGAATGTTCATAGGTATGCGGTAGCATGGTAACTGCATCCTATAAATACCGCAGCCCCTTGTGAATGAACCACCCGTATCTGCCATTGTCTCCGACGATGGAATCGAGCAGGAATCCGAAACATCAAGCAAATAAGGCCCTTGTTCCAGAGAACCTGTCTCCTTCGTACGTTATACTTATTTATTTGCATTCCGTCCATTTTTTCGGTCATTAATTCGTAGCAATTCTTGGGAAGCCATAATATACTAGGTAGCACATGGTTTTATTCATCATACTGCCAGGGTTTGAACGCCCTAATTGACAATCATTTCTTGACGGCCAGTGCCAGCACGGCGTTATAATTATTATAAGGCGCATGCTGGGACGTTGAATAAATTAGACAAAAAACTGTAAAGCCCTTAATGCTCGTCGGAATTGTCGACACTGTCAGACATGCCTGTAAAACAGTTAAGCACAGGATTTTATATCCGGAAACACATACTGACCTATCGCAGATTAGAACTGAAGACCGAATGATGCTTTAGATGATAAAGAGAGTGATGACGAAGGCACGATATCGATGGGGATAATGTGAGGTACTTCAGCAACAAGTCCGATTCTGTCGTAGGAGGGCGCTTACCGATCGCTTCTACGGAACTCACTCGTCCCGTTGTGCCTTACGGGCTCTCTCTCAAGCCCAACCAGCAGCCGCACAGCAGCGCATGATATAGGCAGAATGACATTACTGATAAAAACAAGGGAGACTGAAATGGTCATTTCTGGCTTATTAGCTTATGTCAGCCAGTCATACCCAGCCCCGAAGTGTGGAACACCTCGGTCTTGAACGCGCGAAAGGTTGGTTAGAAGTTCAACGCCTTTAACCAGTGAGCCACGAGCTCGTTGTCTTAGAGTTTGCGGTCGGAAATATACAATGTTAGGGGGCACAATGAGACGAGTGAGTTCTGTAGAAACGATCGGTGAGCGCCCATCTACCATTGTATATTCCCGACCGCAAACTAAAAGACAAAGAGCTCGAGGCTCAGTGGTTAGAGGCATTGGACTTCTAACTAACGGGCCGCGAATTCGAGCCCAGGTGTTCCACATTTCGGAGTTGGGTATGACTGGCGGACGACGGCCAATAAGCCCGAGATGGCTATTCCAGTCTCCTTTGTTTTTGTCGGTAATGCCATTACGACTGATTCTTCTAATGCCGCTGCAGTGACGATTTTCACAATGCTAATAAGTTAGCAGTCAACGGCGACGGGGATGTATTTTTACGCCCAAGGTTCTGGATTAACTGTCAGCTTCACAATAACTTAGGAGACATAAACAGAGAACGCAACGTTTGCTGAATGCTTTTCTGTGCCATCGTGCCGCATCACTACGATGTGGACAGCCTTTGACTCACGTGTTTGTAACCCTTTGCCAGGTGTTTGTTCTCCTTGAAGCTGACTTCATCATCGGATCACATTGAGCGAACCGCAATTGTGTGGTTTGGGCCATTTCTCCTCTCCATCGGTACATGTGTGACTCTCCACCTTTGACAGAGACCTCTCGTCTTTCCGACGTACTTGACTTCCCTGTATCTGCAGCGAATATCGCAAAGCGTCCCATCCTGACACGATTCATCAATAGGAGACGGGTGTTCGTCTTAAGATCGTTTGCAACCCTCACACCGATGGCATGCAAACACGATCGACAGCTACTCCAGGTTGGTGATTAATTTCCGAGGAAATTAAAAGCAACAGTTTTTACGACGTCCTCATCCCATAGACAAATTTATCGAAACTTGGGCCTACTGGGGTCTGACCTCTCGTCACGTTTTTACATGTACCAGTCAACTAGAATATTGTAAACCACTGTTAATGCATTGAAATTAGGCAATCAGTTGTTTGGACTCTACGAGCATCGGCGCAAGCTTCAGGCGACTGATTTTTCAAAACAGCGTACCTAGGTCAGTGACAATTAATTAAATCAGGAAGGCTTCAGAATTGCGAGTTACCGAAGTCAAATCACTTTTTAGATCACATCAGAAAGCTCGGAATGCTGGATACGACCTTTTGACATGTTGTTAAATCTATCTATTGTGCGCACAGGAACCTGTAATCGGCCCGCAACACTGTCAGGCCTCAGTTTCCTTTGAAATGTTTCGTGTGCGTTGACACCACAACACCGGTTCTTTGAAATGGCGGCTTTCACATGCAGAAAAGGTATGCCCGTGCGTAAATATCTACCCCTTGTCAGTCACAAAGTGCACACACTTTCCTCCTTCTCCTAAAGTCCACCTTTCGCGTCGCACGGAAGCCGCATACAGGAATGTAAATATTAGGTTGCATGGAAAATACTCGCCGAATTCAGCAACTAACATCTTTTTCCTGAAAACCTTAACATTGCATACGTCAGCATTAGTCAAAATATGGTCTTTGTAAGCTTACGCGTCTGAGACATCGATGAAAAAGAGTATTTCTGGTTAGATGGTAGTTGGTAGCCCTCCCGGTGCCGAAAACTCCCAGCTACCTGTCTTACGGGACCAGTGGTAATAGGGGCTATACGGGTGGGGCAAATGAGTGGAGGCGTAAATGGCGCTGGTAGTGTACGCCTGGAAATGACGCTTCTGCTAAAGTGAAAGCCTAATTTAAATAAGGTGAAAAGTGCAAGATGGGTATGGAAATGAGCATGGTTAATTAGAACGGTATGCGGAATAAATGCAGCCTTACCCCAGATTGGAAAGAATAGCAATTGAAGGTGAACAACCAATGGGAAGAAGGCGGTGTGTCTTAAGGTCATTCCGCAGTATGTGCGATAGTACTCAAACAGACAGAATGGACATTAGAACACGAGAATCAAGCAGCGGCACGCAGGACGGCATAACGCAAGCGGGGTAAGACTTTAATGCCAAGAATATGTTTGGGCGGAAGAGCAGATCCAGAAATAATAGTTTATTGCCACTGTGGCCACATTTGGGATTAAAACTATGGCAGTAGTTGTGTGCTATACGTGGGTGGAGTATCGGTAGACATCCTATTTGCGCGACGGTTGTCCTTGTCGTACACGATCACGCCGGACTCTGCAGGAGGTCTGGAGTAAAAAGACCTAAGGACGCAGGCAAACCGACAAAACGGAGACCCGCGACAATCCGCCTAGGATAGTAATGAGAAGCATGATGAATCATAATGCGCCTAGGATAAATCTTTCGCCTTTTACTAAAGATTTACGTGTGGGGGGTGCAATACGATGAATCTATATAAGCATTTTTGCAGCGCCACGTTCTCGGGGTGGTTAAAGTGAACAAGAAATTCACCCTGACAGGGCTTCTGCGCGTGCACTCCCAAACATAATGAGAACGTAATCACAGCTACTGAAATCGTAGTGCCTTAAACTGGAAGTGCAGGAAAGGATCGCTAACTGGCAGGGCTACCAACTACTATCCTGCCGTATTTCTACCTCGTCGACAAAAATTAACTGGTTTTGATGTTAAAAACTTAGAGAATCCATCTTCCACCTCCGTTTTGTTGCTTGAAAAAGTGTCAAGATGCTTGAAACATGGTAGTCCGCGAGTCATCGAGTTCTTGCAGTGTCATTCCGGCAACATGAATGGCTGCAATGGGTAGCCCCAACCCTTAACCCGTGAGCATTTAGGAAAAACCCAGACGTAGCCGCAACCTTAAGCCTAGGTCTTAAATCCGCAAGCCAAACCCAAAAACCTTTGCCCAAACTTCCTACCCATAATTCTAAACCCAAACCTTTGCCTCAGCCCAAGCCTGTCAACCTTTGCCCAGGAAACTGTGGCGGTCAAGGAAGTGAGATCAACTTAAACTACACTCAATTATCTTGTTTCGTCTAATTTCAGAAGTTAGGGCGCTGTGAGAGCAGGTTTATTCTGTACACAGTACAGGTTGCTGTGAGTTGGCTGTTTGCTTGTGACAGAGCTAAGCGTCCGTTCTCGGAGAGCGTCAGTCGCGGTCTCATGTACCCGCCCGTGTTACCAATCAGCGAAAGTAGTTGCATCGACAGGCTTCGAGAGCACTTGAGGGTAATGGCGAACTTTGCATGGTGCAGGCAGAGAATTGAGCAGGAGTGCCGTGTGGACGGGATTGCAGCGAGACAGATCGAGGGTTAGTGTGT